CCCCCCTGCCTCTGGGGAATTCATGAAGCCTGTCTCTCTGGCAGCAGTTTCATTTCCCGTGTACCTCCCAGGCTGGTTTAATGGGTTGTTGAAGGTTCTGCACATCAAATTGTCAGAAAGGTCGCAGGACAACCTTTGTAAATTAAGTGTAGATGTGGTTAGCACTGGGATGCTTCCTACCCAGTTGATGTGTTATGTTCATTTTAAAAAGAAAATTGTTTGAAAAATACATGTTTTGTGTGATGGGCAGAAATAGTTATTTGCTTGTCATCTGGCGTGTGACACCAGCTTATCACCATCACTCACGAGAAGCAAAACAAGCAAGCTTTGTTCTCCAACAGGTGCAGCATAAACATGAAATTGTATTGCAGTTTTTTTCCATGCTTGAGGGTGGATCTTCAAGATGCTGCTGTGTGGCTGGCCTGTCATCAAGTGTGGTCCCTCCTGGTGCCGCAGCAGAGAGCTGCCCAACAGCAAGTAGCTGGAAACAAAGTCTGGTTTTAATAGTGAACTGTTGCAGCAAAAGCATATATGGGGTAGAAGTCTGGCATGCTCCCTAAAACCGTGCTTGTGAAATCTACCATTTGGGAGAAAAGTGCTAAGGATTTCCAGGAAGAGAGCTGATGACGGTGGAGCTCTCACAGATGTGGAACATGATGTCGACTTGTAAACTGGAGCTGTTGTGTGCTGCACTGAGTGCTGTGCCTGCTACATAGAGCGTGTGTATGACAGACCGGGGCAGGGAGAGGCTGGTTAGACTGGAACCCAAGTGAGAAGTTTCAACTACCTTTTGGCTTGTTTTTTTTTTTTTCACCTTGCAAAACACATTGAGGGTAAAGTGCCCTAACTGGCTCTTGTCCAGCGTTAAAAAAATTTATAATCATCTTGTTCAAGCGTACGGGAGAGAGAGAACACTGGAAATGTAGCCAGTTAGCTTCCAGTATCACCCTTCTCTTTGCAAAATCAACGACAAGGTGTTCTTAAAAATGATCATGGCAGGTTGTGAGGGAGTTGAAGGGAACGCATGCTTCTGAGCTGTTTGTTGGCTGCGTGTTTGGGATCTCTTTGGTCACCTGCATTGCTTCTGCTCCAGTTTACCTATTTATGTATGTGTTCAGTGGAGCGATGAGAAAAACAAGCTTGTGTGTTTGATTTGGGGTTTTTGTTTCTTAAACAACCAGAAATGGTGGGTGTGACTCACAGGGTTTGTACCAGGGCTGCACTCTTGGCT